TGATATGGAACCATCAGGGTTGGTTTTGAGCTTGAAGTCCCATTTACAGCCAACAACATTGTGATCAGAAGGTGAAGGAACCAAAGACCACGTGTGGTTCTTCTGGAGGGCATTGAATTCTTCTTTAATGGCTACAAGCCATTCAGGTTTACTCAAGGCTTTAGATACTATCTGAGGCTCCATGCAAGTTGAAACATTAGTTGATAAAACTTTGGGCTTGAAAATACCAGATTTAGACCTGGTAACCATGGTATGAGTACCTACAACAGAAGGATTAGGAATAACAGGTTGCTCTATTGGTAAGTCTATGATAATTTGCCGAATAAGTATGGCTGTAGGAGTTTGTGGTGAGTGAGGTGAAGAGTGATTGGAGGTGTGACTTAATGGGGTGGATAGAGGTGAATGTGTAGGCGGATTTCTTGTTGAGCTGAGGGGAGAAGTGGAAGTTGATGTATTAGCAGGTGTAGGAATAAGGGTTAGTGGTGTGTGTGGCAATGAGTTAGCTGGTGTAGGAGGATTGAGCTCCACAACATGAGGAGACAATGTAGGAGCTGAGATAGCAAAAGGTTGAGAGGGTATAGAGGAGGACAAACTGTTTGTGTAAGTAGAATGATGAAGAGGAAAAACATTTTCATCAAATACAACATGTCTGGATATGATGATCTTCTTGTTAGGTAACAAGACTTTGTAACCTTTATGCGTAGGACTATACCTAATGAAAACTGAGGGTAAACTCTTAGGTTGAAGCTTACGTTGATTGTAGGTTTTCAAGAGGGGATAACAAAGACATCCAAAGCTCCTTAGGAAATCATATTGTGGCACTTGGTTGCATAAGACCTGAATGGGAGAAAGTTTGTTGGGAGTCCTATTGATAACGTAAGAGGCACTGGAAAAGGCTTCATCCCAGTACCATAAAGGAAGATTGGATTGAGAAATTAAAGAAAGCCCCACTTGGACTATGTGCCTATGCTTTCTTTCAGCTTAGCCATTTTGTTCAGGGGTGTCGGGGCAAGAGATTATAGATAAGATTCCCATATCAGAAGGAAGTGCCTTTAAAGACTGAAATTCACCCCCACCATGACATTGAAAGGTCTTTATGGTAGTGTTAAATTGGTTTTGAATAAGGATGTAAAATGGATGAAAGCCTCTTGAGTGCCAGACTTAGCTTTAAGAAGATATAACCAGACAAACCTAGTCTTATGGTCAATGAAGCTAATGTAATATTTAAAACCTTTAAAAGAGGTTATAGGGGTTGGTCCCCACAAATCAGAATGCACTAGATCAAAAGGTTTGTAAACATCATGAAGTGAATAAGAAAAAGGCAATTTATGGATTTTAGATTGCATACACTCATCCCAAAGGGCCATTCTTTTATTATCAAGAAAGGAGATACTGTATTGTTTACTATAGCCTGACCAAATCATAAGGGGGATGGCCAAGCCTTTTGTGCCAAATACTGAGATCAACAATGTTTTTAGAAACTGAATTACAAACTGGTTGAGAATCAGAAGAAAAAACATGTAAAGGAAACTGCAAGTGATCTTGAGCTGAGGTGAGCTTGAAGCGATAAAGGCCATCTCTAAGCGTACCTTGAAGAAGAGGTGCTCCAGTCTTGAGATCCTTCACAAAACACATGGTTGGTTGAAATTCAAAGAATACACTGTTATCCTTTGCAAATTGGGAAACACTAAGAAGATTTTTGGTTATTTCAGGGACATGCATGAGAGTATTGAGTAGGAATGCAGGGGAATGGACGAAAGTTGAAAATTTTAACATAACATTACCAATATGTGCAATGTGCATACCTAATCCATTTGTTGCTTGTACTTTGCAGCTAAGAAAGGTGCTTCTATCTTATTTGGTGTTTCAAGGCTCTCTAGCCTGCTCTCAAAGCTTAGGAGGACTGAATAGCCTCCATCATGGTGCTTTGCTCAGTTCTAGAGGTCAAGTTAACTACCACTGGGTTGTATTCTTGACCAAGCCTAGACAAGAGATGAAGAACTTGGTCATTTTCTTCAAGTTTGTAGCCTGCTGCCCCTAGCATATCAATGACTCCTTTAATTTTATTGAAGAACTCTCTAATTTTCAAGTTTCCTTTCTTCATTGTTTGCAACTCCAGCTTGAGTTGCATTTACCTTTCTAGGCTATGGCTAGCAAAGCTCTTCTTCAAGCAGTTCCAGATTTCATTAGATGTGTTGAGAACAATAGTAGTGACCAAGATATTTTCTGATAAGGAAGAGAGTAACCCTGAGGCTACAAGCTGATCTTGTTTGAACCAATGAAAGTAAGCCTTGTTGACTATGGTTTCACCTGTAGCTGCATCAGTGTCTAGCTTGTCAGGAGCTCAAGTATCACCAGTGAGAAAACCTATCAGATCATGGCCTCTAATGGTTGTTAGGATTTGTTGCTCCAAGACCAAAAAATTGGTCTCATTTAGTTTTGTAGACACCAGTTGATTTTGCAGCTGCACAATGGGGTCAAGTTGTTGGGTAGGTGTAGCCATTTCGGAAAAAACAAAANAAAGGAGAAACTAGATGAGGAAAATGAAAAGAGGCAAATCAGAGGGCTGGCTCTGATGCCATAATAAAAAGCCAAACACAATAAATGCATGGATATGTCCAGGATCTATATTTGGAATACTCATCTCAAACCTTTTTGATTTTCTCATACTTGCATGCTTCAAACAGCCATTACAATTTAGTGCATTCATACATCTCGATCTCCTCAGCTATACTATGCATATATATGTATATGGCGGCTAGCTAGCAACACCTTATAGGGTTCATGGACACTTGAGGTAATCTAGACCACACATCTACCCTATCATCAAACTTAAGGTTACAGTTTTGGATCTTGGCTATGTGATAGCTGGCCATGCTCTCTCTCTCTCTCTCTCTCTCTCTCTCTTGTACTCTTGGTCACACCTAGGCTGCAGTTCTTTGTCTTCATGCAGAGCCGGTTCATCCATGCACATGCTGATGTGGCATTGCTGATTGGGTGTCAAAGTCTTAACGGTCATACTTTCAGATATAACAGAAATAAACTTATAATATTTGATAGTATAAAGATGCATTTTTAATCAAATACAATACATGAAATGTTGAAAAAAATTCAAAGGAAAATTCCAACGGAATATTTTTTTAATGGAACTCTAGCTAACGACAATTTCAATGGATATTCCAATACTATTATGTCCGTTGAATTTTTTTCCCTAGATTCCAACATATATTCTAACAAAGATATTCTGTTGGAATTAGTTTTCCATTAGAGTTCTTGTTTGATTTTGACGTTTCAAACCATAGATTTTTCAACAATTGAAATATGTAGTTGAGATAAAAATTGCAGCGAAAATTGCATATTCCTGCGGGAAAAATTCGTTGGAATAATAGTTGTTGGAATCGTCAAATTTCATCTAAATTCGAATAGAAAAATCATTTCAATAGAATATTTTCATGGAAATTTCGTTGAGATCATTCCAACGGAAGCTCAGGGACGGATCCACCCTTGGGTTAGGGTGGGCTCCAGCCCCATGTCCATTAAAAAGAATTGCTGACTTTAAATTTTTTAAAAAATTTTATATATAGCTCTATGTAATTTTTTATTTAGCCCCATCTAACTTCGGGCTCGATACCTCAAGATTCAGGTCGAATTCGTTAATCAGTCAACAATGGTGGATAAGTGATGATCGTAGTGAGAGGAAAGAGGATAATTCTTTATTGCCAAATGACAATTGTGCTTACTAGATTTTTATCAATTGGATTTATAATGTGGTACAACACTCTCTTGCCTTTTAAATTCTTAATGGGTTGCCTTGACAAGTACCTAACGAGCTGGATAATTAAGCTTGAAATACACTTCTCCTACAGGCTATTTAATTGGTTTTGTCTCATTGCACAGTCTGTTAACCATTTTCGTTTGGGTTTTATTGAATTCGCCCCCAATAATTAATTTGGCTTCATTTCCTAGACAAAGAAAAAAACTCTTATAGAGTTGATTGCAAACATGTTCGACTCTATTTGTTGGATTGACAAGTTCGATTAGCTATATATTTGAGTTTGGTTTGTATAAATATATAAACATGTTGAGATTGAGTTTTTACAATTCGAACCAGAATATGTTAACATATAACTATTCTAGTAGCCAAAATCGGTTTCGGGTTGAAAAAGCCGGTCGCAGGCCGAGGGTTGGAGGACCCTGAACCGGCCCGAATATATGGACGGGGCCGGTTTATTGAATTGTCGGTTCTTGGCCACCCAGTAAAATAAAAATAATTAAATAATAATATTTTTTGTAAAAGTCCAAACTTTTGGTTCTGATTCCAGTTCGAAACCGAAACAATCGGTTCGAAATGTATAAACTATAAAGTATTGAACATGAAACGGACTTATCAAAATCATGGACCGATTTGTGCCGGTTTGGACCGAACCGGCGGGTCGGGCTAGCCCGTGAGCATGTCCACCACGGCTCCAATAATAGCTACAATAATATGCAGCCTCGAGTTAAAAAAATTTTCTGGCTACGCCCCTGCGTAAGTTATACTATTAGAATATCTGTTGAAAAGCTATACGCTTAAAATATCCGTCGAAATTTCTATTGAAATATATTAGTGTAGAATTTTTCATTAAAATATAATAAAATTTAGTTTTTCGATGAAGACCAACTTACTAAAAATGAAATTTTATGGTTTTGTTAACAAGATAGTTACAAAGATTTCTGCTTGAACGTCAATTTGTATCCACTATCCAGCATTGATTGCATAAACATGCAAAAATTATAGTGCATTTCTTCTTAACTTATCTTTTGACTTTGTGGCCCCCATGTGCACATTTAATCTTTTGACTTCAGACCAATAAAATATGAATTAATATTGGGTTTGACTTTAAGAAAATTGGGATTAGTTAAATGACCTAAGCCTAAAACTTTATTCAGGCGCTGTTTCTGACATTTAGCATGAAAAAAACCGGCCGAGTTGAATTTTTTTATTTGAAAACAAAAAGGAAGTAAACCCTCGTCCCGTCTTGAAGTTGTGTTATTTCTCCAACCAAGCAACAGGGACACACACTATTTCCAATATATACGTTATAATCAATCCACCCACTCTTTGGATCATCATACCATACTTTTTCTTGGCATAGAGAGTATTTCATCAGGAAAATAGAAAACAAGGTCTGAATTGAAGAACTTGGAAGGAAAAAGGAAAAAAGATATCGACCGATGGGTTCAAAACTCACTTCTCTCCTAATTTTTTACTTGGTCTCTTACATTAAGGTAAAAAACCTAGCACAAAATTTTATATTTTTGTTTCAATTTAGTTTTCATGATATATATATATATATATATATATATATATATATATATATATATTAAGGAGATGGGCCGGTAGACCAGCCCTTTGAAGGTGCTTTTCTTGGTACATGGTTATGTGTAAACCTTAAAGAATGTGAGGAACGTTTTTGATTTGTGCCATAAATTAATATCATGTGTTTCTTTAGATGATGATGGTTCAGAGGGTAAATGGAGAAATGATATTATGAAAATTTTGAAGTGTTCTTTGGTGACAAAATTGATTTGTTGCATACGCGTTTAGGTAACATGAGTTCTAAGAGTCTTGAGATTTTGCATAAAAAATTGCTCTTTTGAGTATTGTCCACTACTGATTGGTTGTTTCCCCGAATTGATCGGGGTCAGCCCGGGACTGACCTGGAGCTATTCGGGTTCTAACGGGCTGCGTACTAAATCTAAAGATTGTCGCAACTTCCAATAGGCCTTCGACTGGGGAATACCCAACAATATATGTATATAATCACTATACACACATTATTTAACTCAACACTTTGTAATTTGCAGTGTCTCCAAACAACAAGCAGCCACACAACTCGAGAACACGACCATCAAGAACATGATCAAAAATCAATATCATATTCCGAAAATGACCCCGAACTTAGCGTCTTCTTCCACCACAACACCCTCCAAACTGGCACCAAACTCCGTCTCTATTTCCCGGCAAACGAGCCCTTGGCCTCCCCGCGCTTACTCTCCCGTCACGAATCCGATTCTATCCCTTTCTCATCCTCCCAACTCCCGAGCATCCTCCAACTCTTCTCGTTCCAGGTTACATCCAAACAGGCCCTTGCCATGCGGGCGACCCTAGACCACTGCGAGTCCCCACCCATCATAGGGGAGACCAAGTTCTGCGCCACGTCACTCGAGTCCATGCTCGACTCCCTTCGCTCCATCTTCGGTTTTCGATCCGAATTCCACGTGGTCACGACGAATTGCCCCACGGTCCCCACACCGGATTTGAGGAACTACACGGTTATCGAGGCGCCCGTGGAGATATCGGCTCGGAGGATAGTGGGCTGCCACGTGTTGCCTTACCCCTACGCTGTTTTCTACTGCCATAGCCAGGACAGCGATAACAAGCTCTACGAGGTTTCGCTTTCGAGTGAGGATGGGGAGCAGATGGAGGCCGTGGCTATGTGCCACCTAGACACGCGGGAGTGGGATCCGGGCCACGTGGCGTTTCGGGTGCTAGGGATTGGGCCAGGTGGACCGCCCGTTTGCCATTTTTTCCCGCCGGATAATCTCGTCTGGGTTTCGACCTAGTGATGTTTTGTATTAGTTTTGGTTTGCGCCTCGCGTATTTTTGTATTTTGTATCAAAACGAGTATTTTTATATAACTAGTAAAGTGCACGTGCGTTACACGTGGTGGTGAATATTTTTTACCGATTAAATTTAGTAAAAAATAAATTAATTTATTAAACATATCATTACAGGAACGAAGTAAAATATAGAACAAATGAACTTCTAATAGTTTTATTTAAATAACATGGTGATGTCATAATATAAAAAGAATGAAATAACATATTACAACCACAACAAAAATATAGTCCCCAATGAAAAAAAAATACTAAATAATTAAATAAGGACCTAATGTATATTATAGATGCATTAGTTATTTTATTTAATTATTTTAGATGATTAAAGAGTGATTTTCTTTCATTTTTGGTTTTGACGTTTTCATAAGAAATATTTATACTCGTTGGAGCACAGTACATCAATAGTATTGCAAAATTTTTCTCAATTCATTTGGCAAACATCTACCGTAACTTATAAAATATTCTGCCCAAACATATAGTCAAACTCCATGGTTGTATGATCTTTATGAGGTAGTTCTACTAACAGTTCATAAATATCTCTGTGAGATAACCAACCGTATCATTAAATTGTTGATATTTGTTTATCATTGAATAAACTACTTCATTATTATGTCCATATAGAAAAATTGGTACCTGCCCCATGGAGGCATTGCCTTACGGGGTGGAAATGAACATCTCCACATAAAAGTTGACTTTCATGTACTTCTTCCGAGACGTTAAATTACTTTTTGAAATCATCACATTACATGAAAGTATGTATTGTAATGTTATTGCACATATATTCGAGTAAAATACACAATGAGATAGTAAATATTCAAGAATGTTTTGATCAGGCTTCGACATTTTTTTTCAATGTTATTTATTTGGAAGACAAACGAACTATATAATCTATTGTTTGCAAGTCATTGGCCATCTTAGTTGTTGCAATGGTTTTAGCGTTGTTTATCATAATATCTTTCAGATTCCTTCGAATTTGACAGTACTTATGTGCCTAATAACTTCTATAATGCTTTTATTGTCCAATTTTTTTGCATCATACATAATGTTTCAAAAATTTATGATACAATATTAAGAAGCATATCATTTATTAAAATATTTGAGAGGAGAAGAATTAAAATTCTATTATATTATGATACTCTTAGTCGCTCTGTCAACTCTATTATTACAAAGTTATTATTAAAATTTACGTAATGTAATGCAAAGTTTTTATTTTTTAAATATTTAAAATTCTTGATAATGTAGGATCATTATTTGTGAAAACAAATTTGTTACAGAGTTCGTATATTTAGACGCTAGCCAAAAAAAGTAGTAATTTTAAAAGAGTTTTGTTTCTAGATATTGGTATTCATATTTCTCTAAAAAAAATTCAAACGTTTTATTTTCACATTGAATTACTATCATTTTATTTGTTACTTATTCTATTCTCAAATAATGTTTATTTGTTGAAAGAATTCAAGCTCATTTATATGCATTGCGCCATTTTTTTGTACGTACTTTATATAATGACGTTGTAATTAAAATATCTTATTTATTAGGCTACAACTAATATAGTTATAAATACTATTTAGTGTTACTTATTTATTTATAATAACAATATATTTGACAAAAATGTACTTTTATATTGGTTATATGATTAAAATGTTTAGGATTTTTTCCATTGTTTGATAAAATATTAAGTAATTAACTCATTTTCTTATTCATTTAAAATATATGTTATATGCATGTTACAACGATTATGGTGTTCCTTTCATGCAGTAACTGAATAATTGTTTAAACTACAACTCATTTATTTCTTCTTTTAATTCGCATAGTTAATGTCGATAATAGTTGTAAGTTTACATCCATTTTGTACGTTTTTCTTGTTTGAATGAATATTTCAAATCTATGTAAGCAAAATATGACACAAGTTTATCTTATGTTTTTTTCATACTTAATAAAATTTGTTTAACATGGATTTGTAATTTGTTTTATAAGATATGTTTAGGTCCGTTTATTATTCTGAACTAGTATTGTATTTTATATCGATATAAAGAAGTATATTATTTTTATTTTATTTACAACACATTGGTCAAATTAAATATCTTTAGAAATAAATGATGTGATATATTATATATAAAAGAAAAATAAATAGATAAATACTATGTATTTCAAAATTGAAACTTGTAGTGCTAGACAGTAATTAAATTTGTAATTAAAAAAATTAAGACTAACATGCCAATAATATATTTTTATGCACTTAAAAGTTCTAGTAGAAATAAATGTTCATCTTAAATATGTTTATATTTCTAATTAACCAGCTTCAACTAATATAAGACCTTAACTAATTTTATCATTTTTTTGACTTATGGATTGAATTTGAGATATATGCTTTCTCATTGTCTAGTCTTAAATTTTTATTACGTAGAACATTATTCTTACCCCTAGTTTAGTTACTATAGTACTAATAAAATAATTAAAGACTTTTCAACCTTTTTTTTTCCCGAAACGATAGGTGCAACTATTATAAAACTCAAAGGCGAACAATGTTCGAATACATCGGATAACAAAATACAGAGAAACATGAGAGACACGTCACAGACGGTCTAGAGCCTCGACTGAAATACAAAAAAAAAACTCAAACATCAACAAAGAGAAATAAAAGAAAGTAACCTTCACCACTGCTAAAAGCCTAGCAACAAGTTACAATCTCCTGAACAAATCTAGAAAAACTGAAAAACGGAAGAAGAAAAAGATCACAGCAAAGCAAAGAAAACTAGATAGCAGCTAAAAATTGACGCCAATCGGAGTGAGCCATTCTGACAAGAACATGATCTGGAATGAAAGTCTTTTGGAAGATCCATAAGTTTCTGGACTTCCAAAGCCACCAAAGCATATATGTGGAAAGTTGAATCCTTGCTTCAGCTACTTCCGAATGATCCAGTGAGCAGACTCTATACCACCAATCTTTGAAGGATAAGTCCCTGCTGCTTAGGTCAGTCCACTGAACTGGACAGAGTTTCCAGACATTCTCAGCTCTTGGACAAGAAATAAAGAGATGTTGCAGAGTTTCTTGATCTTCACCACAGATGGCACAGGTTATGTCAATGTGCAGTCTCCTTTTCCAGAGATTAGAGGCAACAGGAAGAGTGCCACTGAGACATTTCCACATAAAGAATTTGAGCTTAGGTGCAACCTTTAAATGCCAGAATCTCATTTTAGCATGTTTCTTGATGTTAGAAGCACTACTGCTTTCAAGAAAATCAGCCTGTAGGAGTTTTTGATGAGAAAGATGTCTATATGTACTGGACACTGAAAAGACTCCTTTTTTATCCAAGCTCCAGTAATGTCTATCATTTCTGTCTGGATGCAGTGTCTCTATATCAAGAATAGCTTTGCTATCTGCTGCATCAAACACTTGTTGGACAAGCCAGTCATTCCAATGAGAGCCATTAGGCTGCAGCAACTCCCTTACCCAGATTAAGTGTCTTTGAGCAATAGGGATTAGTGTAGGAGAGGGCTTCTGCAGTTTGGGAACCCAATTGTGGTCATCAATTCTGGTTTTCAGCCCATTTCTGATCTCAATTTTAAACCATTTGATAAACATTGGCAAGACATCCATCCAGCTGTTCCACATCCATGAACCCCCTTTGATTTTTGTTGCATTCACTATGGAAGAATGGGGAAAGTACATATCTTTCAGCACTCTGCTCACCAAGAGATCTGGGTTAGAGGCAACTCTCCATAGCTGCTTGCAAATTAGAGCTTGGTTAAACAGCTGCAGATCATGAAACCCAAGGCCACCTGATTGTTTTGGGAGTATTAGAAAACTCCATTTTTTTCCAGAAGATGCCTTGGCCTTCTTCAGAATTTGACTTCCACCAGAAGTTAGCACAAAGTTTGGCAAAATCTGCACATAGAGTGACTGGCAACTTGAAGCAAGACATAGAGAATATGGGTAATGCCTTGATTACAGCCTTCAGAAGAACATCTTTGCCAGCAGAACTGAGAAGCTTGCTCTGCCAACCAGAGAGCTTTTTCTTAACTGCTTGGAGTATATAGTCAAAAACTTCTCTCTTGTTTTTGCCAATGCCTAGAGGAAGACCAAGATACCGAGTTGACCTATGGGTGACAATGCCATTCAGAGTTGAGCAAATGGTGGACTGAAGGATCTGAGGAGTGTTCTTGCTAAAGAAAATAGCAGATTTGTGTAAATTCACTGCTTGGCCTGTGAAGAGCCTGTACTGTTCAAGGATATTCATGAGGATGATAGCTTGATCATTTCCAGCCTTGCAGAAGAAGAGTGAATCATCTGCAAATAGGAGGTGAGAGAGCAAGGGGCCATTTCTGGAGATTTTCATCCCTTTGAGCAGTCCAAGATTGACAGAGTTCAGAATTAAAGCAGATAAAAGCTCAGCAACAATAATGAAGAGGTAAGGGGATAATGGGTCCCCTTGCCTTATGCCTCTGGAAGGAGATATATATCCACTCAAAGAACCATTGATTTTAAATGAAAAAGTTGCAGAAGAGACACATATCATGATAAGCTTCACAAAATCCATATGGAAACCCATTTGCAGCATAATTTTCTTCAGACATAACCATTCCACACGATCAAAAGCTTTTATCAAATCCAATTTCAAAGCCATGAAAAAGTTAGGGGCAGAGTTGTGTCTATTTAAAAAATGGAAGGCTTCTTGGGCAATAATCACATTATCAACAAGTTGTCTTCCCTCTACAAAGGCAGCTTGGTAAGAACTGATGCAACTTGTCAAGCAATTCTTCAGTCTTAGGGCCAGAATCTTAGATACAATTTTGTAAACAACACAACATAAACTTATGGGTCTGAACAACATAATTTTCTTGTTTGTTTTGAAAAAATTACTAATTATATAAATTAAATAAAATTACATTAAATGTGTTATATTTTCTATCATCATTAACAATTTTCATAATAATTGGAAGTTTGAAAATTACAAATTTACCCTCTAATTCTATTTCTTAATCTTGACGACAAGTCTACTTTCTTTTTTAGCAACATAATGTTTTATCTAACTTTAGTTTATACATTTTTCAACTAATG